TTTTTTATAAAATTAATAATTTTAATAATAAAAAATAAAAATATTTTAAAAAATACACATATTTGTTTTTAAACATGCCCTTATTAGTCATTTAATGTTAAACAAGAACTGCTAATTATTGTATAATCAAACAGTTATATTTATCGAATCTGCTATTTATCATTCACTACTCACTTTCCGTTATCCGCCAATCGCTATCCGCTACCTATCACCTGTTACCGCTATCCGCTACCTATCACCTGTTACCGCTATCCGCTACCTGCCACCTGCTACCGCTATCCACTACCTGCTATTTGCTATCTGCTAAATTTTAACCGTTATACTAAATAGGCCTTTAGTCTGCTAAGTATTTGTCGCAGGTACCAATAAAAAAAAAAAAAAACTATTTGTAGACTACTTCAAATATTAGGGGATTACAAAACAAATAAAGGGAACATTGCGGACCAACCTATACTTAATTTGAGTAAAAATTAATAAAAAAAATACTATAATTACAATATTATGTAATATTATAAATTTACAATGAAAAATGCTAAGTGCACCCACCGGTTTGACACCCGAGAGTGCACACTCTATAAAACCAAATAATTATAAAAATAAAATTACAAATTTATCTTTAAAAGTCATTTTCATCACAATACCCCTTTTTCTTCTTATCTCTCCATTTTCCTCTTCTAACAAATTCATTATCTTCTTCTTTTTTCCTTCTTCCTCTTTTTTTTTTTTTTTTTTTTTTATTTTCTCTCCATCTAGAGAACCCAAATCAGGTTCTCCATCTGGATTCTGTTGGAGAACCCAAAACAGGTTCTGCATCTAGGTTCTCCAATAGAACCCAGATCTGGGTTTCTCTAGGAGAACCTGGGAGAAAAAATGAAAAAAAAAAAAAAGGAGGAAAAAGGCGAGAACCTGGTACAACTGCCAATTGTCTTGCAGATGATTAGGGTAAAGATGGATTTGGTGCTTGAATGCTTGATTAAGTTTTGCTGGGATTTGTTCTTGTTGTCATTTGGGAAATGGGTTTAGTGAGGAGGGTAAATTTATAATTTTACTTTTAAAATTATTTGGTTTGTGTAGTGTGCAACCACCAGGTATCAAACCAGTGGGTGCATGAATCATTTTCCATTTATAATATGATTTATCATTATATATCTGGTTATTTTCATTTAAGAATTCACTCGTAATATTATTTACTTATTTAGTATTATGTTATATTCATTTAATGTTATATTATAATTATAAGATTACAATTTTATGTGATATTATAATTATAATATTATTAAAAATTAATTGAGGAACAAAAAACAAATTATAAAATAAGAAGCAAACAAACATGTTTTAAAAAAAAAAAACTATAAGAAAAATGAAAAACAGGACAGACTACTTGTAAAATTGTTTAAATATGCTTAATAAATCTTTCTTGTGTTTTAATTCATTAAGATATTTAAGTCTTTTTAATATCATTCTTAACATTTTCGTTATTATGATTTTCAGACGATCTCACACATAAGATTGGTTAAAGAATGAAAAAACATTAATCAAAATTTTCAGTTGATTGATTTTCATTGGTTTGGTAACTGAAACACAATGACAACCAAACACAAGAGATAAGGATGTCAACGGGGCCCCACGGGGCCGAGGATCCCCGCAGGGATTTTTTATGGGGGGCAGATTCTGCCCCCCGTCCTCGTTCCCCGCGGGGAACGGCAACAATAGCAATGGCAGCAGATGGCAGCAGATGGTAGCACATGGCTTCGTAGCAGCAGCAGCAAATCGCTCTAGCAGCAACAAAGAAGATGGATCCGGTCCGGCAGCAAGCCAGCGGCAAAGCAGATTCATACAAGCAACGAATCACTGAATATCATTCACTTTTAGCAAATTCATACAAGTTTAAGCACCAAACATCAGGAAATTGCAAAATATGAAATAAAAACACCCAAGACAAAAATTTTGGAGAAAGGCAGATCTAGATCTGAAGGAGGGATCCGACGATCGAAGAAAATGGAGAAAAGGGTTCTGGATGGGAGAAGAATCAGGTGATGACCGGTGATGTAGGTGGAAGCTATTGATCAGAGAAAAATTTGAGAAAGGGGTTCAGGATGGGAGAAGAATCCAGTTTTTTCTTCTTCTTTTTTTGCCGTCTGCAGCCTCTTTTTTGGTGTGGCTCGGTGGCTCCCCCCTTTTAAAGAGAAAGGAAAACTAGGGCTTTTTGGGTTTGGGTTTGGGTTTTAATGGGTTAGTTTGTGAAAGTGGTTATTGGGCTCAATATTTGGGTTTGGGTTAGATTTATTGATTTTTTTTGTGAATTTCATCCTTTAATTTTTAATTTTATATTATTTTATTATAAATTAGTAAAATCTTGATTTTACCGATTCGATTTTACGATTCCAATTTTACTTAAATGAAAACGATTTTAGGTAAAATCTCGATTTTAGGTAAAATCTCGATTTTGACAACCTTGGCAGCAGCAGTAGAGCAGATGCCTTCGGCAGCAGCAGCAACAGCAACAATAGCAGCAAAGTAGATGTCTTTGACAGCAACAGCAGAGCAAATGGATATGGAAATAGCAATAGAGATGGATTTGATAGTAGCTACAACAGAGAAAACTGAGAAGGTGAGATGAAGGTGAAAGATGGGTGAGCTACAAACAAAAGATTGAGAGTGAGACCATGAGTGAGTGATGAAAATTAAAATAAATTAGGATTAGGGTTAAGTGCAGGGGAATGAGGTGGGTTGGGTTGGGAGTTGGGTTGGATAGTATTGGGTTAAGTTTAATTGTAATTGGATTGAATTTAAATTTGGATTTGAGTTTGGGTTTAGGTTTGAGTTTAAAGAATAAATTAATGTTAAAATAAAAACTTTTTTTGTTTGGCAGGGATGGAGATCCCCGCAAGACCCCACGGATGGGAACAAGACCCCACGGATGGGAAAAATTCCTCACAAAATTTCGTGGGGAGAAAATGATCTCCATCCCCATCCCGTCTTGTGACGGGGATCCTCATGAGGCCCCACGAGAAGCGGGGATAATTGCCATCCCTAACAAGAGAGGTTTGGAAAAAGGAATGGATCTAGGTTAATCAATAAAAAAATTAATACTTTTACCAACAAACCTACTAATTTCAGTAAAAAGATTTCAATCCCGTTAAACAAAATCTTTAATTTGAGTTTTGTGAATAAAAAAAAACGTTGAGAGAGCTTTTCCTCATATGAAATATAACGCGACTCGATTCTAAATTAATCAAATCCAACATGATTATCATATATCGAAAAGTTAATATAAAAAAAATTAGTATTTTTTTGAACTGCATTCAATAAGAAATTAGTGAATTGATAAGAGTAAAATCTTGTTTTACTAACCGACAGTATTCGGACGGTTAATTATTCTTAGTCGAAGAAAACAGCTAGCTAAAAGCAACATTTCTTTATTTGATAGCTGAAATATCACCGTCCATAGGCATAGATAAAAGTTCTAACATGATCATAGGAACAGCGGCTACAGAATATGATAATTCTGGCCATGACAAGACAAAACGAAAGGGGAAACAGCTTAACGTCTGACAACCATAGAGGAAAGATAAATCACGCATGGTGAGGCAGCGAGCTAGCTTCCACATCTTTATTCGGATATAGGCACAATCCAACAACTTCTAGAGAATTTGTTGTTCAAACCATCTGTCATATATATCCTGCACTGCATCTGCATGCATTTATAATAAATTAACATCAAAAGGATGAAAATATAAATATATGTATATTAATTAGGAAATTAATATATTAAAGAGTAAAAAGAATGAAGCTGATAATTGATAATTAATGTAAAAGATCATCTTTGAGAAAATGAATTACTATTAAAAGCTTTTAAACTTCCACTCCTGGTTTCCTTTTCCCTGTTCAAATTTCTTATATCCAACAACGGCATCATCCACGCCATTATCATCGAAGGCTGTCCAACACATATCAGTAGGGTTACTAACAGGCTTTACAGAGACGAATCCATCACTCAATCCCACCTCTCTCCACTGCGGCAAGCTCTCTTTACTTTTTCCTTCAACAGAAACTAAACGCAGCTGCAGGTTTCAGGATAAATTTACAGTATTAATTAGGCATCAATTTCCACGCGCAACATCATTTTTTTCGAACATTTCTGAAAATTCTACACCCCATATTTATACACCAAAATTCTAAAGATGAATGCAAGATTCTTACAGGCTGGCCTTGTTTGTCGGGGGCTTTTACCGCTTGGTTGATGTGTCTGTTAACTAATGCAAAGGTGCCCTTTTCTTTATTTTCGTCTCTGTGCCAAGTCTTCAACAACAAGCAGAACCAAACAGGCAACCATTTACATTAGAAGAACAATTTCAAAAGACATGACGTAAAAGGAAACTGTCATACATATAGCAAATAATTTTTTAAGACGATGATTGATACATCATTCAATTCATCACATTACACAACATACTTCGATTCATTTACTAAAAAATTAATATTTTTAAATTTAAATTTAAGACAAAAAAATTTTCAAAAGCAAATTTTGATATTTTGATAATGAAAATTAAAAGATATTGTTAAGTGTGTTGAATTGAAAAGTATATTAATTATTTTTTTATTTTTTAAAATTAATTAATCAAAAACTTATTTTTTATTATCATTTAAATTGAAATCTAATATTAAGTGTTATTAAGTATCTGGAGAAAAAGGAAAAAGAAATTGCGTGGAGGGCAAAAAATTACCTGGTTTGGATCACTTGGTTCAAACTTTCGAAGAACCACCGTTTGATCCTCTACCTTTGCCGTGAGAGCGTAGGAATCACCTGCACAGTTAGGGTAAACTTGATATCTAGGGTCCGACATGATTCAATATCTACGATACTTTGCGTGAGAGCGGTGACTTACGAGAGAACTTGGGGAGAGAACTTGGGGTACGTTATATAGAGTTTAGGGGATAAAAACTAACATTTAATCTTTCACCTTATAAAATTAGTAGGTTTTAACTTTTCATTTTATAACATGATAATTTTAATTTTTTATTTTATAAAATTAATAAATTTTAACCATTTATCTTATATTATGATATTTTTAACTCATCATCAATATGAATTAAGGAAAATAATCCTCACCTAACATCAAATTATAATGTTCTGTTAGTTTTGTTAATTGACTGTTAATATCTGTTAGCATTTTATTATAAAAAATATGAAATTTAAATTCAATTTTATTTGTTAATTTCATTAACAGAATGCTAACAAATGCTAACAGATGTTAACAGTTAACTAACAGAGTTAACAGTCAGTTAGTAAAAGTGACAGTTAGCTAACAAAATTGACAATCAGCTAATAGAATTGACAGTCAGCTAACAAAACTAATAGAATATTAAAATTTGATGTTAAATAAAAGTTATTTTTTTCAATTCGTATAGATAAAGGGTTAAAAATATCATAATATAAAGTGAGGAGTTAAAATTTATCAACTTTGTAATATGAGGGGTTAAAATTTATCAATTTTATAAGATAAAAAATTAAAAATAATATATTATAAAGTTAAAAACTAAAATAAATCAATTTTATAAGGTCAAAGACTAAATATTGATTTTAACCGAGTTTAGGGCTCATCAAAGATAAAAGATAACCAACCATATCATTTTCTGTAATCAATTGCCCTGGCACTCAACGATAGCAATTACTTGACCGAGTAAAGGTATGTTTATCAAGAGTTGGGGCTCATCTAAGATCAAAGGTAACTAACGATATCATTTTCGGTAGTCAATAGCCTTGGCCCTCAAAGTCAGCAATTACTTGACCGGGTAATACATGAGCGGTTTTATCTTTGTATATAAATAAAGACCAACAATTATTAATAAGTTTTTTAATAATAATAATTATTAACATTTTGAACTTAAATTTTTAAGTTAAATGTCAAATTTAATTTCTAAATTAACTTTCAATTTTAAATAATTTTGGTCCTTTTAAATTATTTTTTGGTTCAAAAAATTATTTTTTATAATTTCTTTTCCTTAATTATAAAAAATATATATTTTTATCATTTCATTAATTTTATTTGTTAAATTTATCTAAATAACTTTATTTAATTTTCTTTAATAACCTAAATGCGTATAAAAATAAAATTCAAGAACTACAAATGTGCAATAGATAATAGTCATGACAGTCGAGACTCACCACATTTGTTACTTTTGCCTCTTGATCGTACATAATTCCAACTAAACCTTCGGGGCCAAAATAACTAGATAGAGGTTTTTTTATTTGGCTTAATGTCACTAAAAATCCTCCGAATTAGCAAAAAGAGTCATTTTCATCCCTCTAATTAATTTTATTAATGTTTAAATAAAAATATTAATTTTAAATTTT